TGGAAGGGCAATCTCTTGCCAAAGCCGGGGAGTACGGGTTATTGGTATCCGCTTCCTTGTGCAGTAGAAGATTCGCTCTGCATCATGTGCAGGCTCTGCTGTTGTGATAATAAAAACACAAAAACGTTGAAGCTAAAGGGCAAGAATGTTATTGCTGGTGGTGGAACGGGTTTAAACATTAAAGGGAATCTGTCAGCCATTTGTAACTTTTAGTCAATGATGCTAGCTATTGCCTTTTATTGGCTTTGTAAATCCTCCTCCGTGTTTCCCTCTGAAATTAGAACTAGGGATGCACTGATACCAGTTTTTCAGTATCGAGTACCGATATTTTGCTTTCGTTACTTGCCGATACTGAGTACCGATACCTGTGCTTCCGCTGCCATGGAGCCAGCTTCCCTGGGCAATCTGGTCAGAGGTTTGCCCGGGAAGCCGGCTCCATGTTGATTGGCTGGGAAACCGGCTCCCAGCCAAACAGAATGGAGCTGGCTTGCCGGTGAATCAGGAAGCCGGGCGGCGAGTAATGATCCGCCTCCCGGCTTCCTGATTGGCCGGGAAGTCAGCTCCATTCTGTTCGGCCGGCTCGATGCTGATTGGACGGGAAGCCAGTTTCCCGGCCACTCAGGGAGGCGGGTCATTACTCGCCGCACGGCTTCTTGATTGGCCAGGAAGCCGGCTCTCTGCTGATTGGCTGGGAAACTGGCTTCCTGGCCAAACAGCATGGAGCCGTCCTGATTGCATGGGAAGCCGTGTCCATGTTCCCCTACGGCAGTGCCGGTCAGAGGAAATCTTTCTCTGACCGGAAGTTCCGGTATTAGAGCATTTGGGCAAGAACGATTACTTGCCCAAATACTTGGTATCTGTACCGATTCTAGTATCGGTATCGGTGCATCCATAATTAGAACACACAAAAGAAGCAACACTCCTTCATGGCTCGGAAGGAATGAGCCGTGTGCTTGCTGCTGTGAGCACGTCCTCGCTCCAATAGGAGCTTATACAGACGTGCTCATATTGGAGATCAATGGAGATGATTGGGTGAAACACGTCATGTGGTACAAACTTGAGTAAACTATTACAGCGGAATGCGTTGGGCGGCCAGCTCTTCTTCTGTTTGTATCCCTCTGAATTTAGCGTCACAGCGGGCTTGACGTCGGTTACCTTTCTCAGACTAAAGATGTCATCGTATGATATTTTTCATGATGGTTTTGCCTCTGAAGGTCTTGTTGTTATGGAGATTTAAGAGGTTCTTTTGCTTTGCACATTCAGGGTTTAGTGACAGGTTCTCTTGCTCTTGGTTCTGCTTGCTGATACTTTCCCGTCGCCATACTCCATTGCCACTCTTTTGGAGCCCTCAGGATATACCTGATGCTCCCAGGTATGGGGAGGCATATTATCTCCTCTCCGGGTGAAGTGGGGCCAATGGCCAGGTCCAGGTCATTTGATGCCATTGATCCCTGTGAGAGCTCTGCGTCAGATGGGGTCGGCGCCTAAACAAGCTTTGGACTTGGCATACATATGGGGCGGTAGGGAAGTGATGATCAGTGTGTGGGATCTTGTTCTTTAAAGAGACCTCTCCATGGAAGTGTTGGTGGAGAATAATAATAATCTCATGATTGATCATGGACTTTCATAGTTAGAATGGACTGGATGTGTACGACGCCGGCAAAGGGACACTGATGGGCGGAGCTGGGAATGCCTGGCCCGCAGTTACATATTTCATTTGTTTCATTTTGATTGAGCAGTAAAGAGTTAAAGGTTCTCCAGGGTTTTTATTTGTCTGTGACCTATTAGTAAATTTACCCTTATTTCCTGTCCCTGTGACAAGATTTTGGGGGGTGCAGTTGTCGCCAGCACAGGAAGGTACAGACCACAAACATTTTTTTTTACAAATGGTCAGCATTTCTAAAGGTGGCCATACACTGTACAACCATCACAAGACCTTAGTCTTGCGATGGTTGTAAAGTGATTAAAAAAACGTACGATCTGCCCATCTTGGACAGGCAGATCGTACTCTCGATCATCGCAAGCCCCACCCCCCTGAGGGGCCGGCTTCCGATGACCGCAATGCTGAACGGGCTGGCATTTGTCTCCCGAGCACCGTTCTAACCAGCCGAAAATCGTACGATTTTCGGCTGGTTTTCTAGCGTGCTCCTTAGACAAAAGACGTGCGACCGTACAGTAGAAACGGTCGCACGTCTTCGTTCACACTGCTCGATTCTCGTACGATCGCGGGATTTCCCGCGATTCTCGTACGAGAATGGAGCAGTGTATGGGCACCTTAAGCCTTCTCAACTCTGCAAATAGTGTGTTTATGTCGTAATCCCTATTTTTCAGTCACTTCCTGTCCTTAACCCTAACCCCAGCAAAAGACGCTAACCCTTTCCCGCTCTATAAAAAAATGAAATAAAAAAAGTTCTGGCTGGAGTTGGTGTTTTTAGATGTCAGAAAACCTCTTCCGTCATTGCTGAGCCTTCTGATGATGCTGGTTTCCTGGCCGTCATGCTGATCCTCTGCTTTCAGTAGTTCAGATCACTGAGCCGGTGAAGTCCGGGACTTCTTGGTTAAAGCAGAACACCGATCAAATGAAATCTTAACCCTTCCAGTGGGGGTACTTCAAGTGTTAAGTCAGGGGTAGCCAAACTGCGGCCCTCCAGCTGTGGTGGAACTACAAATCCCATGAGGCATTGCAAGATTCTCGTGAGAGAGATGCATCATGGGATTTGTAGTTTTACCACAGCTGTAGGGCCAGAGTTTGGCTACCCCTGGGTTAAGTGCTGATTTTGTCTAGGGAGCTAAAATAACAGTTATACTCACCCTGAACTACGACCCTGGCTGGCTCCTACACCGCTCCCTCCAGCCTGCCTCCTCTGCTCGGTCCCTCTGTGTCCTCATGTTCTATACACTGAGCGTGATGACTCTCAGGACCTGAGCGTAGGGAAAGTGAGGCTGAAGGCACCGGTCAAAGAGCAAGCCGGGATCGTGGCCTGGGTGAGTATAACTTTTTTTAATTTGAGCTCCCTAGACCAAACGAGCCGTAAACCCTTGCAGTTCAGCGGTAGCCCCACTGCAAGGGTTAAGGTTTGATTTGCCCAGAGTTCTGCTTTAAGAAAGCTTTGAAGCCATTGGATTAGCATGACAGCCTAGCAAGCTAGCAGGCAGCAATTGCAGGTTCCATGTTTCTCTCACGACAGAGACCCTCTCATTGCAATTTTGGCTTTTTCTATAAAACGCCTCTTGATTTCCCCAAACGCCAGAGCCTGTTAATGGAAGCGTAGTAGACCGCGGCAGGGAAGAGGTTAATGACCCCAGCCTGGGCCCCGTTACTCTTTCACAGAAGGGCAATGTGCTCTGACAGCGGCATTGATTTCCGTGGGGTGGGAGAAGGGGAAGCTGATCGCCGAAGTCTTTCATTTTCTGTTTTTGCATTGACTCATACAGTCACACGAGGCTGACAGATTCACCCTGACACAGTACCCGTCCGTCTCCTGCTTCACCCTCCAAGGAGCCCCCTTCAGATTTTGGTGTTTTTTTGCAAGTAATTTGCATGGTCTCGTATTTGAAGACTTGATGCCTCATATTCCTCAGCTTGCTGGTAAGTTCAACCATATGCATCTTCATATTATGGCTCTGCTGGGATATAACTGCCTTGGGTGATCTATCCTTACCGGTGTTCTATGGAGATGTCCAACTTGTCGAGATCTCCAACTCCCGTCAGTGTGCCTACGCAGTCACCTAAGAGCAGTATCACGTTCTCTAATTTGGGTCTGTGCGGCCACCTAAGAACAGTATTGTGTTCTCAAATTTGCGTTAGTGCGCCTGCTTTGGCATCCAATGGCAAAGACAGTGATGCCAGTTGGAGAACTCGATGAGGATTGCGAGGCTGCACAGGCACACTTAGGGCAATTGGGCAAGTGGACGAGGCTTGGAAATTTGCCGGAGCCGACGCACGCGCACTAGCGCCATCTTGTTGAAATCTCCAACGGATGTGACGTTACGAGTTGGAGATTTCGACAGAACACTGGCACTCCCAGCTCCACCGAGCTGTCTCAGCCTTTAACAGAGCCGATGGTTGGGCTTGTAATGATGTCGGTTTAAAGCGACCCTGACGCATTAAAACCGAGCCACATTGTATAAGAAGAGATTTTATATTTGGGTTTCCAGTGTGTGGTGGTCCAATCTTTACTGGTGCCACTGGTATATGCCACTTCCAGGTATGTTACATTGTGTGCCCCTCCCTCCCGGCTGGGCACAATGGTTTTTGCCACCGGCCACTACATCTCTAAGGTGTCCTGTTAATGAGAAAGTGTCTGGCAGGAGGAGCCACGGTGGGGGGGTCCAGGCATCTGACACACACACAACTGTCTGCGTAAGGTTGGGTTTATTTTTTCTGAAGCAACAGGGTCACTTTAAGGGTGCATTCACAACGCAATCGGAAGGAAAGCGCAAGTCAGCGGAGGGTCCGTTGACTTGCAATTTCTTTCCCATCTGTTGTGTTGTGACCCGTTTTTCTATGGAAGGTAACGGAAGGGCAACGGAAAATGATTGGGGCTAGTTCACACCGGATCCGTTGCATTGCACTGAATAAAAGTAGCGCCTGTTCTACTTCTTTTTTTTTTTTCGGTGTGAACTAGCCCCTTTCACACTCATTAATTTTTTGGGGTCCTTCCGTTCAAAAACGGATCACAGCGCAACGGATCCGGTGTGAATGGGCCCTAATGTGTAAGTTGGAGGCATCCAGTGATATCAGAAGCTGGAGGTAGATTCAATCTGCTGGTGTAGACCCAAAACTGAAATGTCTGTTTGCATGCTGTTGGCCTTTAGGGTTATATCGGTGGGGGGGGAGGGCTATAATTAAATAAATAAAAAAACTGTGTTTTTTTAAATTTATTTATAAACTAAAGACCTTCAAATAGATTTAAGCTATAAAATTTCTGTGAGCATTTTTTTTTTTAAATTACCATTGCCCAGGGATAAGATTTTAGGTTTGCCGTCCTTTCTGCAAGAGATAAAAGTCTACTACACGCTGGCCTATTTAATAATGCAGTGCAAAAGCGTAGGGATGTCCTGTAAACCACAGATTAGCTTCTGGAAGCCGGCCTGCGATTGGTCACCACAGGCTGCTGCATGCAGCACGTCATTGAATAAATCCCATTGGCTGGTCGGCATCCTTAGTGAACATGCTCCATTGAACAAGGCTGTACATGCTGCACTGCAGACGATGCTGCTGGGGTCTGTGGCAGCTGAAGAGCGGTGATCGGCTGCTCCTGTCTGTAAGGAAGGATCTCCGAGAAAATGGATTATCTCCGAAAGGTTTTGTCTCTTCTCTCTTTCTCTCTCTCTCTCTCTCTCTCTCTCTCTCTCTCTCTCTCTCTCTCGTAACTCCGTCACTACCATAAGGCCAAGATCATCGCAGTTGTTATCCTCTTGTCTGCAGGCCTAATGTGCTTACCTCTTTATATATAATATATGACACACTTTGAACTCTCAGCATTGTATATTTAGCAGTATTCGGAATAATGCATGTGCCATCCTATATCTGTATTTAGCAGTATTTGGAATAATGCATGTGCCATCCTATATCTGTATTTAGCAGTATTTGGAATAATGCATGTGCCATCCTATATCTGTATTTAGCAGTATTTGGAATAATGCATGTGCCATCCTATATCTGTATTTAGCAGTATTTGGAATAATGCATGTGCCATCCTATATCTGTATTTAGCAGTATTTGGAATAATGCATGTGCCATCCTATATCTGTATTTAGCAGTATTTGGAATAATGCATGTGCCATCCTATATCTGTATTTAGCAGTATTTGGAATAATGCATGTGCCATCCTATATCTGTATTTAGCAGTATTTGGAATAATGCATGTGCCATCCTATATCTGTATTTAGCAGTATTTGGAATAATGCATGTGCCATCCTATATCTGTATTTAGCAGTATTTGGAATAATGCATGTGCCATCCTATATCTGTATTTAGCAGTATTTGGAATAATGCATGTGCCATCCTATATCTGTATTTAGCAGTATTTGGAATAATGCATGTGCCATCCTATATCTGTATTTAGCAGTATTTGGAATAATGCATGTGCCATCCTATATCTGTATTTAGCAGTATTTGGAATAATGCATGTGCCATCCTATATCTGTATTTAGCAGTATTTGGAATAATGCATGTGCCATCCTATATCTGTATTTAGCAGTATTTGGAATAATGCATGTGCCATCCTATATCTGTATTTAGCAGTATTTGGAATAATGCATGTGCCATCCTATATCTGTATTTAGCAGTATTTGGAATAATGCATGTGCCATCCTATATCTGTATTTAGCAGTATTTGGAATAATGCATGTGCCATCCTATATCTGTATTTAGCAGTATTTGGAATAATGCATGTGCCATCCTATATCTGTATTTAGCAGTATTTGGAATAATGCATGTGCCATCCTATATCTGTATTTAGCAGTATTTGGAATAATGCATGTGCCATCCTATATCTGTATTTAGCAGTATTTGGAATAATGCATGTGCCATCCTATATCTGTATTTAGCAGTATTTGGAATAATGCATGTGCCATCCTATATCTGTATTTAGCAGTATTTGGAATAATGCATGTGCCATCCTATATCTGTATTTAGCAGTATTTGGAATAATGCATGTGCCATCCTATATCTGTATTTAGCAGTATTTGGAATAATGCATGTGCCATCCTATATCTGTATTTAGCAGTATTTGGAATAATGCATGTGCCATCCTATATCTGTATTTAGCAGTATTTGGAATAATGCATGTGCCATCCTATATCTGTATTTAGCAGTATTTGGAATAATGCATGTGCCATCCTATATCTGTATTTAGCAGTATTTGGAATAATGCATGTGCCATCCTATATCTATATTTAGCAGTATTCAGAATAATGCATGTACCATCCTATATCTCCAACCAGCGAATGTAGAGGGTAGTCTGAGATTTACAGATCAGTCCACACAAAGCTGTATATCTCTGTATGGGAGTAGATGTCAATAGAATTCCGTTCCTTTTATGTGTTGGGGGCCCTGGTCATAATATCTTTCTATAGGAGTTTTACTCTGGTTGCTGCAGTTGTAGCGGTCACACTCTTCCTTGTGCATTCTTGATGTACTTCATTCTTGATGTACTTCAGCATGAAGAGTGAGACGAATACCATAGAACTGTCCATGGAACTCCACCAATGGATATGGGACAGAAGAGTTAACATGCAACTATAGTAATAATGTGATGAAATGCCTAGTGATTTGACCATGTGACCATGGGTTTATGGATTAGCGATTGCCACAGTGATTGTTAGTGTTTGGTGCCTTTTGTTCCCCATTAAAGGAGTATTTAATTGTCTAAGTTCCACCTAAAGCAGAGCTAAAGTTGGCTATACCCCCTCCCCTCCAGCAACGCAACTTTACAAGCTCCCTCGTTGGCGTGCGCCCACATCTCACCCCCCCGGTCTTCTTCTGGGTTTGGCATCTTTAGCCATGTTGATTGGCAGGCCCGGGGTGACATTTTGCATGGAGGTCATGACAACACAGACACGCTGAGAATGTACACCGAGCTGGGCATTCTCAGCTTGTGATCAGCACATAAGGAGGTGTTATTGCAGAAGAGTTTGGGTTGGATCGCAGGCTCTGGGGTTGGAATTACATAGAAAAACTGCTAAATCAGAAGCAGCCTGATTCTCTGATTTGTGTCCAGTCGGGCCGCTAATTTGCTTGACAGGTTTGTGTGTGTCCCCATTGGTGTTCTGCAGGCAGGCAGGGTCATGTTTTGGTGCTTTGTAATAGTCCTAACAGTGCAAGGAGACGGAGAATATTCTTGGAGATATCTTACTGGAGTCCCACCGGTGTCTGAAGAAGGAAGCTGAGGGTTTCCAAAAGCTGGCGCCCCATAATATATTCCGGGGGTAGGCAACCTTGGCACTACAGCTGTGCTGGAACTACAGATCCCATCATGTCTCTGCCTCTGGGGGTCATGCCTGTGTCTGTCAGAGTCGGGCGATGCTTAATGGTACTTGTAGTTCGACAAAAGCTGGAGTGCCGAGGTTGCTTACATGCATGGTATATTTTGTTAGCCAATGAGCCACGTTTTTACTTTTCTGCTGCTGTCTAGGACTAGCATGGTACAACACTTTACCACCACCTCTGATCCTTAGATAACACAGTCCAGGCCGCAGGTTGCTTGTATTCGCGGCAGACCATGAGTTGTACTACAAGGAGTAGCAGATGGCTGGGAGGAGGAGTGGTGGGTCATTAGGAAGACTAGTCCTGAGGGGATTTAAAACCCTAACTGAGGACATTATGGCTGAGCGTTTGTTGCTTTGCTCAATTTCTTATCCCTTCACCATGTGGAGAGCAACATGTAGAACTGTGCGGCCAGAATCCCCCCACTTCCTCCTTATACAGGTGAAACTCGAATAATTAGAATATCGTGCAAGTTCATTTATTTCACTAATGCAACTTAAAAGGTGAAACTAATATATGAGAGAGACTCATTACATGCAAAGCAAGATAGTTCAAGCCGTGATTTGTCATCATTGTGATGATTATGGCTTACAGCTCATGAAAACCCCAAGAACCCCAAATCCACAACCTCAAAAAAGTAGATTATTACATGCAATCAATAAAACAAGGATTGTACATAGAACAATATCGGACCTCTGAAAAGTACAAGCATGCATATGTACTCAGTACTTGGTTTGGGCCCCTTTTGCAGCACTTACTGCTATTACTTTTGCACGATATTCTAATTATTCCGGGGGGGGGGGCACTGTATTAGTCTTGACAGTTTAAAGGGTAATTCCACTTTCCCAGGCAGATTTGGGGAAATGTAATTACCGCCACCAATCTGCCCTCCTCTCCTCGTTGATGCTCCTTCCCCTCCGTTGCTGCCAGTGGCCTATCTGTACTCCCTTACACAGCAGCGCTGCCCTGCACTCGGTATAGCAAATGTTGGTCGCAAATTGCACGCAGTCATTGGTCAGTACAGGTCACCTGACCAACAAGAAGCGCTTCCGACCATGACCAATAAGAATTGTTTTTTTGCTAAGAAGCGCTTCTCATTGGTCAGTGCGGTCAGGTGACTTCGCTGACCAATGATTGTTAGCAATTTGCATTTTAATTTGAAATACCTAATGCACGGCTGCGCTGCTGTGTATGAAGTATAGATAGTGCACCGGCAGCCATGGAGGGGAAGGAGCGTTCGGTTCAAGGTCTGCTGGTGGGCGGGAGAGGGGGCAGGTTGTTGGCAGTAATTCCATTTTGCAAATTTTCCCTGGGAAAGTGGAATTACCCTTTAAAGAAACTGAAATTTTTCATATAAGAAGTCAAAGCGTGATTCAACATGCCGGCAATCATGCAAAGCTAAAATATATTAGATTGGATGGAGTTGACCTTTAAGCGTATGTAAAGCCAATACCCAAAATGTAATATATTGCAGCTTACCAGTCTTTAGATGTTGGGGCGGTTGCAGAAAATAGCCAGTTGATCTTTCCAGAAATCCAATGTCCTTGTAGCTTCCTGTGTGCTGAACTGTAAACACTTACATACTTCTCTTTATTGCGTAACCTACTAATCCCATCAAGCTGACATGTAATGGAGATGAGCAAAGGCAAAGTCCAAACTTTTGGACCATCATGGCTACACCCATAGATACCATAGAGCAGGGGTAGGCAACCTTGGCACTCCAGCTGTGCTAAAACTACATTCCATGGAGCAGGTGCGGGCAAACTCCGGCCCTCCAGCTGTTGTGGAACTACAAATCCCATGAGGCATTGCAAGATTGTCACAGCCATTGGCATGACTCCCAGAGACGCATGCATGCATGAGATTTGTAGTTTCACCAACCCTGGCACAGTGGAAATTGTGTAGACACAAAGGGACAGGAAGTGCGTTATTTGCAGGCTCTCCAGGTGGAAAAAAAAAGGGGAAAACGGTGGGAAAAAAAAATCACTGCAGCCACATCTAAGGACTGGTAACCTGCAATATACTTTCTTGGGTTTAAATTAGTGATGCACAGATACCAAGTACATGTAGAGATACTTTTGAGCTCCAAGACTAGACTAGAGAGAAATGTAAAAGTTAGGAGGCAGCTGTCATTTGTAAGGAGCACACGGAGCTCCCGGGATTTGTACATCTCTGTTTTAATGACCGATTTTGTTTTTATAAATATAAATAAAGGGATGCACAGATACCAGTTTTGCGAGTACGAGTACTGGTACTTGCCGAGTACTTACAAGTACGAGTACTGATACATTTTTGTTTATTGTCATGTGACAGTTTTTCTGAAACAATACAGACTAATGATTTCAGGACAATGGTGGAGCGCCAGAGCCAGGTCCCAGCTGCAACCGCTGCAACCCTGGTAGTTCTCATGAAAATGCCAAGTATCTGCACTGGTACTCGAAAAGTATCGGCGCATCCCTGGTTTAAATACACTTTAATCTGTGGGGCAGGAGCTGGGTGTTCTCTGTTTTCATTCAGCTTTCAGGGGGATTCCTCTATCCACACTGAGATGCTCCTGCTCTCCTGCTGCAGCTATTGTATTTTGACAGTCGACCCGCCGGCTGTCTAACCAGTGCCTGAATCTGATTGGATGCAGTCAGATGGGAGTCGGCATATAGGGCCACCCACTAATTCCAGCCGGAGTCATCCGAAATTGGCTCCGAGTATACCCGGCTTTGGCGGTGCTAGAATCCAGGAAATGGAACGTTTGCATTAATCTAGTGAAAACGGCTGTGACCCTTATGTGCAAGGGTCATGAGCACAGGTCTTATCTCAGTTCCTATGTACTGCACTCATAAATGCAGTAAATAAGATTTGAGATAAGATCTGTGCGTTGGCCGTCTTAGTTATATATATATATATATATATAGCACTTTTCAAAGTTCTTTACACAGGATATAGAAGCAGTTGCAGCAGTCCATTCACAGTCTATGCACCCAGCAATCCATTATCCACCCGGCTTAATGTTTCACCTTCTTACACTTTCAAAGGTTCGCTGAATTTTATGACATATTCTGCCTTTTTCCTGTAGTGAGCAAGGATGGCGGACCAGAGGCAACGCTCCCTCTCCACCTCCGGGGAGTCGCTGTATCGCGTTCTGGGACTAGACAAAAATGCCACAGCCGATGACATCAAAAAATGTTACAGGTGAGGGTGCTGCCAAATGTACTAATGTACCTTTTTAAGCTGAACCCTGGCCAGAAATGTAAAAGCATTTAATAGATCTGACTGTTCTTGATTTCCTGTTAATAAGACCGTTGGCTGCTATGCCTGCTACTTCCCTGGACCGCCGGTCATGTGACGGCCCCTTTGCAGTTTTAGGATATGAGCGGCAACGTAATTATGACTGCAGTGGGAGGACTTGGGCTCCTCACATTCCTGGTCTGTCTGCCCGCTAGGACAGTTGCTTTGATTGACAAGTAGTGTGGACGAAGGCACAAGGTGAAGAGATACAAACCTGTTATTGCCCATAATCCTGTGTACTTCCTGCAATACATTCTCATTCAATGTCTGGACTTGTAGTCTGTTCCTGTGACAACACATAAGCTAGAGGAGTAAGCCCTGTGTACTTCCTGCAATACATTCTCATTCAATGTCTGGACTTGTAGTCTGTTCCTGTGACAACACATAAGCTAGAGGAGTAAGCCCTGTGTACTTCCTGCAATACATTCTCATTCAATGGCTGGACTTGTAGTCTGTTCCAGTAGCAACACATAAGCTAGAGGAGTAAGCCCTGTGTACTTCCTGCAATACATTCTCATTCAATGTCTGGACTTGTAGTCTGTTCCTGTGACAACACATAAGCTAGAGGGGTAAGCCCTGTGTACGTCCTGCAATACATTCTCATTCAATGTCTGGACTTGTAGTCTGTTCCTGTGACAACACATAAGCTAGAGGGGTAAGCCCTGTGTACGTCCTGCAATGCATTCTCATTCAATGTCTGGACTTGTATTCTGTTCCTGTGACAACACATAAGCTAGAGGGGTAAGCCCTGTGTACGTCCTGCAATGCATTCTCATTCAATGTCTGGACTTGTATTCTGTTCCTGTGACAACACATAAGCTAGAGGGGTAAGCCCTGTGTACTTCCTCCATCATTTAGTGACTTCAGTCTTTAGCTAGGAAGGTCTCATTGCTGCAGTTCAAAGGGTAATGTAAAAGATGTATCTCTGTCCACCTGTATCACTAATAGTGGACTGTCCCTTTAAACTCTGTGGTGTGTGCAGGAAGCCAAACACAAGTCCTTTTTTTTTCCCTTAAAAGAGAACTATAGGGTAAGTGTTTTTCCCCATAGTTCTTTTAAGGGTCACGGGAGGACATATACTAGCGTCCTCCCGTGACCCAAAGCTCAGTATATCGCGAGCTAAAGCTCGCAGTATACTGAGACCGCTGCAGCAGGGACAGATCCCGACATTACTGTCGAGATCCCCAGCTGCGTGAGTGACAGCTGGCTCTGCCTATCTAGAGGCAGAGCCAGCTGTACCCGCCCCCTCCCCAGTGCGTTCCGCCAGTCAGCGCCAGAGGATCGGGGAGGGGGGGAATCCCTGCAAAGAGCCATGACTGACTGTCTGCGGCAGTCTGTGTTCGCTCACTTCCCGATCTATTGAGCCGACGTGTGACATTTTTTTTGTCACACATCGGCTCGAACTATGAGGGTGAGTGATTTTCACTCGCCTCATAATTCTCCTTTAATGGTGGATAGAGTGGGAATGACTTACATATTTTGTCATTTTATTATTTTTCCTTATTTCCTTTGACACCTATACTAGAAATGGAGGGGGCGGTCATCATTGGGACAGGAAGGCACAGACCACCACCATTGGAACATAAACATGTCCGAAGTTGTAACCCAGACCCCTAAAAATGTGCCCCCATTGAATTATCTCTTTCATGTTTGTTTAATATAAATGTGAAGGCGATCAGATTAAAGTAAACAGATCATAAAAAACATGGAGGCTTATGTTAAGAGCTGTGTCCCTCCAGGAAGTCCCAGCAAGGGCTGATCTTTTCCCTGTTGTTCACGTTGCAGGAAGTTAGCTCTGAAATATCACCCGGACAAGAACCCGGATAACCCAGAAGCATCCGAGAAGTTCAAGGAGATCAACAACGCACACGGTATCCTGACAGACTGCACGAAGCGCAACATCTACGACAAGTACGGGTCCCTCGGCCTCTACGTGGCCGAACAGTTCGGGGAGGAGAATGTCAACACATACTTTGTGCTGTCCAGCTGGTGGGCGAAGGTGAGAGGCAGGGGTAGAAAGACTGGTGGGCAGTTTATAGAAGCACAGTGGGCAGGATATATGGGCCACAAGGCCTGCAATGTCCCATGGCTGTATCAATGTCTGGAAGAGTCAAGTTTCAATTCGTTAGGGCCCTGTAGATAAGTTTTTGAGATATATTTCTGTAGTGTTTTGCTGAATCGGGGGGGGGGGTTAGTTGTAAAGCATTTGTCTCATTTCAGGGGAAAAAAATCCATTGCTGTGTCAACTTCCCTTTATCCTTTTTGTTGTCATTTATTTTTAAAGCCCAATTCTCTAATTAAAACACAGCGGGCTTTACACAGACCCTGTTACTTTGCCTCGAATAGACAGGTGACAGGGTCTCTTTAGGGGTAAAGTAGCCATATACCGGCACTGAGAGAAGCAGGAATCAGATGCACTGGGGAAAAAAAAAAGGTTGGGACTGTTGTAGGTGAACACATTTATTTTTTGGATGGTCTTTAAAGTGGTACCTGTCTGTGTCTCTCCCCAGGCCCTCTTCATGTTCTGCGGCCTGATCACAGGCTGTTACTGCTGCTGCTGTCTGTGCTGTTGCTGTAATTGCTGCTGCGGGAAGTGTAAACCCCGGCCTCCCGAGGCAGAGGACACAGACTTCTACGTGTCACCCGAAGACCTGGAGGCACAGGTGCAAAACGACGAACAGGGTGAGCGACTCCTGAAAAACCGTCAGTTCTCTGGATGAATTGTCATTGCAATTACATTATTACGTTTATTCTTTCTCCGTTCTTTGAGCATTATTACCGACGGTCTAACTTTTTGGGTGAGTGCAGTGTGAGGAAGTTCATACGGCACACACGAAGGGGAAGTGGAGAGTGATTCACATTATTTTTGCTGAAGCACATGGTTTTGCACATTTCCTTGACACATTCATTGGGACCTCATACAGTAGAACAGTTTCTTCATTTATCACTTTGTATGTTATGACCTATATATTTTATACGTGGACATAATAGAATTTTGAGTGTTATGCACTTTTATAACACAGTTGTACCTCTATTGGTGTGAATTGATTGTTTTAAGGGATATTGTAAATGCACGGCAGGATCGGTGTATTCCCTATCTTTGAATGCTATAAGGATTTATGGATATATTTTTTATATTTAGTATCAATTTTTAAGCACAGTGCACTTTTGAACTTTTGTATTGTTTAGGCCTCATTCACACGAGAAAAGGCCGGAACGTACAGATCCGTGCTGCGTGCACGGCCGTTCTGGGCAGCTCCCGGGAAGGACAGGTACTGCGTGCCATTAGTCTGCATTCCCTGTCCTCTATGGGAGTATGCGGCCACACGCTGCCCTACGCTCACCCAAAGTGCGCGTGTCCCGACTCGGACGCAGACAGGATCCATTCTGAGTATGGACATGCAGGGCTGGTGACCGTAGGGCGGCGTACTGCCACGTACTCCCATAGAGTTGGACAGGGGCTGCGTTCTAATCACACGCAGCACCTGTCCTTCCCGGGAGCTGCCCGATACGGCCACGCATGCAGCACGGAGCTGTACGCGCCGGCCGTTTCTCGTGTGAATGAGGCCTTAAGTGAATTTCACTTTGGCAGAGATGCTAATGTTTGTTCTATTTAGGGGTAGAGGGGGGATTTTTAGTTTATTGCATTACTGGCAGGACCACCAGGTGCAAATAAAATAAAAAAACAAAGCTTGAAATAAAGAAAGCTTAATGCAGCCACCACATCTCAGGGCCGGTTGACACCACAAAGAGTGTATTCCTCTGGAACGCAACCCAGCCAGCTCCCTGCAGGAGGGGGCGTGGCGGTGCATTGAAGTCAATAGCACCGCAGCCACGCCCCCCGCCCGCAGTGCGATCACCAGCACCCAAACGCGTGGCACATTAGTGCCCGCGTTTCAGTCCAGTGCGATCTGCAGAAATGCTGCATGCACTATTTTTGCAGATCGCACTTGCCCGGAACGCAGACGCTAATGTGCCACACGTTCAGGTGCCGGCAATCGCACTGCGGGCGGGGGGCGTGGCTGCGGTGCTATTGACTTCAATGCCCCCTCCCGCCCCTGAATGCAGGGAACCAGCCGGGTTGCGTTCCAAAGGCCGAATCCTGTGGAACGCACTCTTTGTGGTGTGAACTGGCCCTGAGGCCTGCAAAGCTGCTATATATAACATTTTTGGGTTTAGATACACTTTAAACTGAACAGACTCTAAAACTTTGTCCTTCCTCTTTTCAGATACCTCTGATATCCCAGTGATGGTACAGCCTAGCTCTGCCACCGAGACCACACAGCTCACCACCGACTCCCACGTCAGCTACCACACCAAAGCATTCAACTGAGCGTGTGTGGGGCCCCCGGTTCACTAGGAATAGAGAGGAGGGGGGAGAACTGAATTGAACCCTACAGCCCCCTGTGTAAACATGTCCCCCCAAAATCCTCCCTCATCTGACCAGCTATTATCTCCTCCCCTGGCTGGGGAGAAAGGCGCATGCTCACCACTCACCTTTCCGCCCACCCTCCATGATCAAATCTTTTTAATTTATTTTTTGTTCAAGTCTAGTTTTTAATGGGTATATTTTTGTAATGGGGACCTGTTACTTCTGCACCCCTCCCTTCTGTTCCTTCTGTCTCGACCCCTGTTGTGCCGGAGCGTGAAACTTCCCTTGCCTCCACTCCCCTCCATAGAGGAGGAGTTTGCAGTCCGTGTACCATATTCCAGGTCAGCTCAACAGGAAGCAAACTCGTCCTCGACAGTCACTTCCTGTTGTAGCGGCCACCGGACAGCCACCCCTCAAGATGAGTTTTAACCGTATGTCACATTGTAGTCTGCGTGTGTGAAAGAGTGCGTGATCGGCAAAAGCCAGCTCTGTTGTGCGCAAATGATGGGACGCTGGCTAGTCTGACGATTTCTCCTGGCGTGGAAAGGGAGATACAGAAAACATGGTTTTGTTGCTGTGCATTATAATCTTTACTGTTTCTGATGGTTTAGGCTCAGGGCTGGGGAACCTCCCGCCCTCCAGCTGTGGTGAAACTACAAATCCCATGATGCATCTGTGTCTGGGAGTTATGCCTGTGGCTGTGTGAATCTTGCAATGCCTCATAGGACTTGTAGTTTCACCACAGCTGGAGGGCCGGAGGTTCCCCACCCCGAGTTTAGGGAGTATCATTCCTCAAATGCAGCTTTTGCTGGCTGGAAATTGTCGGCTTTTGTAGAACATGACTTTTTCAAAGGTCAGTTCTCTCAAAATTGATATTTTAGCTATAGGGTGACCATCGCCCTTTCTGCTATTCTGTGCATACAGATCTCCAGGACCAGTAATCCTAACACTTCCTTAGTGGCAATCCTTTTGTGGCCTCTTAACATCCAGCAGAAAGGGTAAGACACCTTAGTGGGCGGGGCTGTGATCTCCGGTGCAGAGAACCCACTTTTGGTGTTCCCAAGTGGCACAGGGAGCCAAGGAAGTGTAAGTCCAGCCAAAACTTTTTCTTTTAGTTTTAGAGTGGGAAAGGTTTAGAACCCTTGTTGGCTTTTTACTTCCATTACTGCCAACGGTTTTACCAGACCGGAAGTGAGGGGAAATCTGTAACAGGCACACAGATAGCAATAGAAAGCTGACAGGGGTTTTAGCCTTCCCCTACTCTGCTAAAAAAAAAAAAAAAAAAAAGGGCATTTATAGTTTTCTTTATGGCGTTGGGGAAAGCTTCTGTTTTGACCGGGCATAAGTTTTGTCTGGACGTACACTTAAGCTAGAAGTACGGAGTTACTGGTAATGTAACAAATGACTAAAATGTCACGAGGTGCAATAAATAACCTTTACTTCCTGTTTAATAATTCTGTATTTAGAGAAATTATAGATTGAAGAAGACCTCTGCTTAGTATTGTTTACAGTGAGGGGAGCTCCTCAACCCAACACCAGTGCAAATGCAGAAAATCAAAAACTCTTTTGGTACTTGTGAGATTCCCCATGCTGCAACAGTAACAAGGAAAAGTGACACTAAACTCAGGAGTCAAATTCTAAAAATGCATTCAGGTACCTCAACTATTAACAATACTGGACCTTATTTGTGTATCACTCGGCTGTAGAACCTCCAATCATCTCTGAATTGGTGGTGACACTGTCCTTCCTTCTGGAGGGGGGCTACTTTTGTTCCCCATGGTCCCTGTGTGTGTTGTAAAGTAGTCACCGCTCCAAGCTCAGCCCCGTGATGGACTACAATCTCAATACAAATTAGTAAACTGAACATGAGATTGTAGTCCATCACGGGGCTGAGCTTGGAGCGGTGACTACTTTACAACACACACAGGGACCATGGGGAACAAAGTAGCCCCCCTCCAGAAGGAAGTACAGTATCAGCACCAATTCAAAGATGATTGGAGGATCGACAGCCGAGAGATACACAAATAAGGTCCAGTATTGTTATTATACCCAAATAAGAGACATTTTTTTTGTAAATAGTTAAGGTACTTGGAAGTATTTTGAAGTTTTAACTCCTGAGTTTTTTGTCACTTTTAAAACAATTAAGAGCTGTGTGTGCCCAATGCAAATGTATTGGTGAACAGATGTAACCACTGAAATAAAACAATCCCCACAGTGGACCCATATATATATATATAGAGGCCTGTTGTGTCCATGCCTGTCTCCCCCCCCCTGACATTTCTGTCAACCAAATCTCCTTGTATCATGAGACAGATTGAGTGTCAGAAATGTCAGTGGTGGGGAGACGGGCATGGACACAACAGGCCTCCACTGACTGGAAGATCAGCCACTTTGAATATTTTTTATCCCTATAATTTCAGAAACAGACAAAACTATTGGTAGGTAATACACAATATAGCCAAAATGTGCATAGAGACCTTCCAAATGATCGAGTTCAGTTTTATCAGTGAAGGGTACTGTTGATGTTACAGCACAAATTCCCACATAGCACGTGGCTAAATCTTGTGGGAAGTCTTCCTAGAAGAGTCCAGCCTGTTAGTCACAAAGGGGGGACCTACTCCATATTAATATCTATTGTTTTGGAATGGGATGTCCAACCAGCTCATATAGGTTTGATGGTCAGGTGTTTACCCCATAGATCATATAGTGTATTTAGAGACGACAATAGTTCTCCCAGGTATGGACCGTAAAGCAGTTTTTGTTTGCAGAAGAGTTTGTCTTTAGCATTTTGGATAGTAACTATATTGCACTGTTTAATTAGTGTTTGCTCAGGTCCTTTAGTCTTGCCAATGGTCCGCCAATAGTCCTCCAGTGACAATCCCGCTCTCCCGTCGGTGTATGTGCTTTTGAGTCAATATACTTTGGTACTCGTATGTGGATATCTGATTGGGGCCTCCTGCAATTTGTACAATTTATCAGTCATTGCGCTGGATGCGTTTTGTTGTTGTTGTTGCTCTGTTCAGTTGAGTCTGTTGAGCGCAAATAAAAACCTCTGTTGGAGGACGGAA